ATCAATGAGGTAAAATTGATAATTGAGTTTGAACCACAAATTTTTCTAATTCTAAGATTATAAGTTAAATTTATTACAATACTACTTTTACATTTAATTTCATCATAATTTTTATCTTTTTTTGAATGACATGATTTAATATTGAATAATTTAGATATTTTTTTGATAGATTTTTAATCTATATAAAAAATATATATAATTTATGCTCCAACTAACAAGATTTATATTTTATATCAAAAAAATTGTTAATATCACTATATAATTTGTAATTTAGATAATATACAATTGATATCAAATAAGATGATGTTGCATTTATCAACTAATATTTTTATGAATTATAATATAAGATAAAAAAATCAATATTATTTTTTTTAATCTTTAAACATTAAGCTAAGCAATTGATTTTTTTCTAAAGTGTGACAATTAACTTTTTGAATTTTGAACTCAGAGCCGCATAACTGTATTTCAATATCTCAACAATTCAATGGTAATACTAGCATCTTCTCAATACATACATTTGAAAGTAAAAGACATGCAAATTGATGTAATGCATTTTAAACTTCTCACTAAAAAATAAAAAAAAAAACTTAACATTATTATGAAAGATTGTACTTATATTATAAAAAAACTAAGTACTTTCTTTAACTTTGTTTCAAAAAGAAATGCAACTATAGAATGAAAAGTTTAGTTATCAAAGAAGATAATATATTGAAAAATAAATTTTTTCAACTATAATAGAATTTATGTGGTTGTGATCTTATGCAATACTTAATATAGATCTTATTCTCTCTTTAAAACCATCGCTTTGTTTTATAATAGATGTTTATTTAGGATCTAAAAATCACACATCTATCTTGTTACTTTTAGGAGCTTCAACTTGTTTAAATGAGGATTTTGTCAAAAGAAATAAAATACCTCCAATAACAAAAATTGAGCTCATGTAAGTGGAAGTCAAAGATGGCTATCTTTTGTCTTTTGAAGATATTACAAATGAAATTATTTCTATAGCTGTAGCAACAAATAGTCATAATAGCTTAGTGATATTTAATATAATTAGTTTTCCATCTAAACCAACTATATTAAGATTATTATAGGTAAAAAAGTATAATCTTTAAACAGATTATATTTCATGTAATTTTAATTTTTTCCATGGTATAATTAATATTTTTACTAATTAAATCAAAATCTATAAATTAAAAACAACCAAATTTTTATTTATAGATATAAGAATTTTTATACATATTGCAAAAGAACAATCATTTAGTTATTTATTTATTTATTTATGCTTCACTCATTTCTAATGAAGGAAAAACTTGAAGTGGCATTTCAATTTAATATAAGAATCATTAAAACATTTTTGAGAAGAAGAATGCAAATATTCTTCTAAAGCATTGTTCTTATGATTGCTCAATTTATCTTCAAGTAAAAACTCAACTATCATTTGGCTTAATCTATAATTTATTACAAAATGAATTTACTTTATTTAAAATAAATTTAATGAAAAATTTCCAAAAAACTTCATATGTCATTCAAAATTTCTAACAAGAGCACTTATCTTATTTTTAAAGAAAAAAAATAAATCATCATAGATGTATGCAAATTATAAAAGATTCAATAAAATCATTTTTGAAAATAAATGACGAATATCTTCAATAATTTAAAATTTTGATCAATTAAATCAAGCAAAGATCTATACAAAAATAAATCTACAAGGAGTATATAACTTGGTATACATTAAAGAAAGAGATGAATGGTAGATTGTATTTTAAATAAAATTTCATGCCTTTTGGATTCAAAAAAATTTCATTTGTTTTTTAGTATGTAATGAATGATGTTTTTTGAGGATTATTAGATGATTTTGTTGTTTTTTAATTATATGGCATTCTAATCTACTTAAAAAATATAAAAGAGCATAAAATTTATATCTATTATACATTAAAAAGACTTAAAGATATAAGATTATACAACAAGATGGAAAAGTGGGTATTTTAAACAAATTAAGTTGATTTTTTTGGATATATCATCTCAAATGATAGCCTTATAATAAATCCTAATAAAATTTAAATCATAATAGATTAGAAGATTTTAAGAATTATAATTGATATCAAATATTTTTTAAAATTTATAAATTATTATAAGATTTTTATCAATATTTTTTTTAAGTTACAGGTCTACTTATATATTTGACTTGTAAAAAAAAACTTAAGTGGAATAAAGAAAGTAAAGTAACAATTTAATATTAAAAAGAAATTTTTAATACAACCTCAATTTTATATAGTACTAATATATATATATATATTAATATTAGTATTTACTTAAATAAAAGGAATTAGATAGAAGTATGTAAATTTAATAATATCTTATCAAAAAGTTTCTTAGAAGCTTTTTAGTTACGGATTTGACATTTTTAGTATTTGTAGGTCATTGATAGATTGAAAACTTGATAAATTAATTGGCTACATATTGCATATATTAACTACTTTCTTTACAAGTTAGTCATATGACACACATGTTGGAAACTTGCCTTGCAAGTTGAACACATGTTTTGCAAGTTAAACGCATGTCAAATAACCTATAAAACAACACCATGTAATTCTTCAATTACTATTACATAAAGATGCAAGAGTAATATCTTTATCACTCTCATTAACTCCTTTTTCACTTCTAGTCTAGTTTCAAGGGTATATAGCTTTTTTATCCTTAGCAATAGTTATTCCAATTTCTTATTAGTTATAAATATTTTTTAATTTTTTTAATATTTTTTAATCATCTTCCTTTGAGACACATCTCATTTATTTAATTACATTCTTCAATTTTTTATTCTTAACATTTGGTGTTCATTAATGTAAATTTTAAATAATTTATTTTGAGATTAAAAGATGATATATTGTATATAATGTTTTCTTAAAAAAAAACTCTTAATGCCACTATTTAGTATCCCCAATACTTAAACATCATTATCAAAATATATATTTATTTAAAATAATTTTAATTATATATATATATATATACATATATATCTTTGGATAGATCTTTTTATTTTATTTTTCACAAAAAATATCATGAAGTGGAATTGTTTCATTTTAAAAGTAAAAACATTTACATCAAATATTTAATTTTTTTTCTATTATATATATTTATTATTTAAATTTATTTTATAATAATAAGTACTCTTTAAAGATATTTTATTGTCTTTTATTTCATACATTTTATTAAGTTTTCTAAATTAGTTAAAATATATAATTTATTGTAGACTAAATATTTTTATTTTTAATTTATTTATATAAGAATATTAACTAGATCTAACTTATTATAATTATTATTAAATATATTAATTCTATATATATATATATATGTGTATGTATAAATAATAGAAATCATTTTAATTTTGTGGTTTATATTAACATGTAAGAATTTTATTAAAGAAATTATTTTCCAGCCATTCAAATATAGATGATATTTTAAGATTTCAATCAATGATTTTAAAGTTTCTTATTCTTAATTTTTAATTTTTAAAACTTCAACTTGAATTCTTGGAAAGTTTGAGCTAATGTAAAATAGAAATAGGTGAATGCCAAATTTCAAGTACATGTCCCTCACAAGCAAAAATAAATAAATTATATTCTATACCTTCAAAGTGGCTTATTTGTATCATTATTTATTTTTTTATTTTTTTATTTATTTTTTCATATGGGATACAGAAAGCTATTGCAAAATGGTGGCAGTGAACCAATTCTAATTGTGAAAACCATGGCCCCACAAAGTTACTCGTAGAAGTATATAACACTACCAAGTAATATCATTTCTACTGCTACGTCCCTAAGCCAACAGCCAAACCAAAAAATAACAATAAAAATGATAATAAAATTGATCAACACAGTTTCAAAAAACACACCATGGATAGAATTTTATGGTAGAATTTTATGGTAACTTACAGTGGGAACGCCAGGTTTCATCCATCACCAAACAGGATGAAGGTCATAAATGGATGTAATAAAATTCTGTTCATCCGATTCACGAGGTACGATTTCAGCGGCGTGGGATTCTTCGTCTACATGGTCTTCATCGCTTCTCGATCTGTTGTCTTAGTTTTTGCAGCTCTGCGTGTTTGCTCAGAGTTTGCAATCACGGAACAAGTGCATTTCTATGGTATCATTCAGTTTGTGGTCTACCTGTGCTTTTGACGCTGCTGTTTATTCTTTCGGGAGGAGCAAGAGAGTTGAAGAATCGCAGAAATTGGGCAATTAGAGATTGTATCATGCAACCAAAGTTCTCCGAATCGCGTCATGCTTTTGTCGAAACCCAGGAGATTCTGATATTGCTGTGCCGTTCTCTGATGTGGGTTTGCGAGAATTTCGACGAGTTGTTTTGAGACGTTCACACACCGATTTTTGTGCTCCAGCATGTGATTGTGAGCATTTTCGCTTAGTGCAACTGGTCGATTGAGAATGCACATTAGGAACTGTAATTTAGGCGCTGCGCAACAGTACTGGTGTTTTAAACGAGGCCTGTGAAGCCTTGTTTCACACCACCTTGAGCTCCACGAAACAGTGCCTTGTTCCTTACCTCGACTGCTGAATGCACGGGAATGAGCAATGGACCATTTAATCTTCTGCGCTGATACGACACTGGTGAGAAAGACGGTCCAGACGTGTTACGAAACACTGCAATGTGTTAAGTCTCCCTCATGTTCAATGAGAATGTGGAAGTCAAATTGTCTGGATAAAATATAGACCTCCACACAATGGTGGGTAAATCGACCTGGTTGGAATTCACAAAGTTGCGTGGACGAGTGGCCCAGATTGCCTCGGTGCACAGGCACCTCTAACTGCTGATCGCACGCCCATCTCTGCATCCGAGCTTCATGCCTCGCTCTCTGCCACCCGAATCCACTCTGGTCTAATCACACTTGTCCAGAAGTTCTTGTGATTGCCTTTCATCCATTACTTCACCGTTTTACTTACGAAAGACAAGATCGTCGAATATCCACAAATTCAGAAATCTAGGTTTTTCCCCGAAATGTACTCATGGCGTACGTTACCTGTAACAGTCGTAGAATTCAGGGCAAAAAATGTTCCTCCTGATAGCACAACCACTGGTGGGAGATTTATGGCATTTGGGATTGTTCGGGAGTGTAGTTGACAAGTCTGAGAGCTGGGTTGTTGTCCATTAGTTTAACTACGTATTTTCTTGTCGTTACTGGTTAATACTTCTGTTCTTGCATCGTCTGGACTTGATTAAAACAAAAACTGTCGAAGCTGAATCAATTTTTAATCGATATGTAGGTTTGAGATGGTTTTTTCCTGTGCGTGTGAATCTCTGGCAGAAGTTGCGGCTGCAGCTGAGATTGAAGGTGGAGAGAGTCTTATTCCCCCATCTGTAGTTGCTCGTGCAAGATTTGTAGTATTGTGTGGTTAGACAGTTGAGCACCATGATGCAGTGCCTTCCAGCCCAGTGTCAGCTATTGTCTCCAGTGTCTACAAATGTTACTTCGAGAACCCAAAGACCCTCGTGTAGTATTACGAGGATATCTCAAAGTCGAAGAGCTTCAGGTCTGGTGGTGAGAGCAGAATCCACATCTGCTCCCACCTCTACAGTCGAAACTGAAAGTCCTACACCAACCGAAGCAGTGGCATTGACACCCACCGCACCCGCCTCAAAGTCCCTCATCAATGAAGAAAACATTCTCAGCGCCATAACTGGCCAAAGTAAGTCTTTCTAACATTGGCTTTTCCTCTTTGTCTCGCTCTCTCTCTCTCTCCCCTTGACCTATATATTGGGCGATTCTCAGTTAAAAGTGTCAAGCTTGTGATTCATTATTTCATATATTTGCATGCGATTTCCAGCCGTTTCTCGACATGATCAATTTACTTTACGAGCGTACGGCTTGAACACAGCGTTGAAACTTTGATGCTTCCACTTATGTTAAAAGCCCAAATCTTGGACAGAATGCAAAAGCTTTGCCGCATTCATCCAGCTCTTGCAACTCCCATCGATTCATGCTCCACCAAGAACCAAATCGGCTCCTGTTAGAATTGTCCATGTCCGCATGTTGGGGTTGGAATATTTCCGTAAAAGGTTTTGTAGGTTAGATATGATTGTGACCATGCCCAAACCAGGTTGTATCGTTCTGCTTTCTCGTAAACTAGTCAAACCGTTCTAAATTTGGTATCTGAACTGTTGATGGCAAAGATGGAAGTTACTCGTCCTAATAGCTGGTCTATCGACTCATATTATAACAGAGGTATAGCTTCACGACGCTTATCTTTATTCCATGTTGTTCATCAGACATTATCGTGGAAGACCACTATGGAAGGTTGGGTGTTAATCCAGAAGCTTCCTCATCAGAGGTGATTCTCTCTTCATGTAACTAACCCAATTACATGGGTATCGTCGACTATTGCATTAGAACGCATCAGAGGTGCTTTCGCACGTGATTGAATTTCTTGTTTAACGGTGATATCATTCATGTTCGAGAATTGGAGTATTATGTCGAGTACAGAATGTTCTCTGCAGAGATCCCGTGTGCGAACATAGATGAACTGTTCTTGTTATTGATGTTAATATCTTGCAGATTGTCAAAACATACCAAGAGCGATGTGCGGAAGTGCGGCAAAAAAATTTGTCGGAATCAGAGACTGAGGAGATTCTCAACAAATTGAAGGTACGTTGTGTTTATAATCCTGACTCTAGACTGTATCTGTATATCATGACATTACGGCATGTAGGCTATATAGTCGATCTTGTTTGAAGTTGAGTCCAAGTTAATGTGACTACCTGGCTAGTTGCAGGCGGACATGTGATATATTCCTTAGAGTAATCCAAGTAGCCACCTGTCAATCGTCAATGTGATCCAGTGCTGATGTGCCGGTCCTATCTCAATATTGAAACTCATTCTTTGATTAACACCTTAGATGCTATCAGTGCTTGAATATGAACTATAATTTCTCTTGTTTCTCTCTCGATGAGTTGGTGAGAGTCGTGAATCTGGGTCCTCAAGCTCAACCAGGGAGGTCAGGGTTAAGCTTCATATGCTCTAAGTTACTGAGTGAGACAGTGACCCTGAGATACTGCCATTAAGTTTGGACCGTGGGTTTCTATAGGATTCTGTTGATCTCCTGACGTCTGAAGAAGAGCGGCGGTTGTACGATTGGTGCCTGTTGCGTAAGGCAACACACACAGTTGACTACGCTTGGCCGTACGAGGCTGATATAACCCAGCGTCTCCAAGATCCCACGTCTCTAGTTGTAAGACATACTCTTACCTCACACAGAACTTGTAATATGAGATTTCTTTTTTCATTTTCATGTCTTTGTTTCTTACTCCTGCTATTACATCAACAATCAGCCCTCTTGAGGTTCCAAATGTGGACCCTTTCGTTCTATTGTTGCGATTTTATTGTGCACCTATCTTCCCTTTCGTCATAAGAGATCAGCTAGCAGAGCAGAGAGTTAGTAATACATTGAGTTCACTTTCTCATCCCCCTGATGTAAAATATCATGCACAGGTACCACCTGAGGACGACGGAGTTAACGACAAAGTAGGACTCTTCTTTGCTGGATGGTTTGTGTTATCTTGCATCCTTAGTATTGTTATAGGGCACGGGTGGGAAAAAAGCATGTAATCCTGGGTGTTATGTGTAGCTCTCGTCTAGTTTCATTCACATCTGCCATGTAACAGATGGTTCTGGGATGAAGTAGTTCTATCCCTCTAGGTGTTTCCTCGTAGGTACTGGGAAGCATGGTTGTGCCTCTAGCTGGAGTACATTTCCTTGTACTGTAGTCTTGCAAATGGCTTAGTGTTTCTGTGAACATCACCGAACCAGTGTTGATGTTACATCTTGTGAGAGGACATCAACTATGATACTATTCCACTCTACCGCGAAGCTAGCTCGTTTTGAAGTAGCTAAACAATGTGTACACATTTGATGTTTTCTGAATCGATTTATTTGACTAGAGGTTGGCCTACTTGCAAACGAAGACAGTGACAGATATTGCCCTTTGTGACATTGACGTGCGATTGAGTTGAACCATTCGCAATTTTTTTTGTTGACTTGGAGTTAGGATAAACGTAGTATGTTACAGCCTAACTAAGAGTTTCTAATGCCTGATGGATTATGAGCTCTCGTACTATCTTGCCTCTACATTGCCAGGAGACGGTTTATGTTTTATGGTGTAAGTTTTCTTACTTATGTTGGAATTGCAATTGTTTTATAACTTAACATATGTTAAATTTATATTTGCAGCCACTCTTGGTTAGTGGCTCTATTACATGGTTGTTATAACAGTCATTTAAGCGAAAGAATATAAAAGAGGGGAAAGAAAGGTGAAGGCAATGTTTTTTCTAATGATATGGACTTCAATATCATTTGCAAGTAAATTGTCATGAGGTAAAATTATTGAAAGTTATCAATCATCAAACCAAGGACTTTTTGCATACAAGACAGAGATGCATATTTTATATGTTTTGCAACTTTTTAACAATTTTCATGGTTTTATTTAACATGATAAGATTTGATTTTATATAATATATATTTTAAAGATTAGAATCATAAATTTTTTTTTAGTGATTTAGATAAAATCAAAGAGAATTTTTATTAATAATATATTGGAAAGCTATTTGTAAATTGAAATAATCTATTGATAGTGATTTTGATAAGATATAAAAATCAATTTCTGCACATTTATTTATATTGATAATTTTTGCACATTTACAAAGAGTTTAGTTCTTCTAAAAATAGTTTTAAAAATTGTGGATAATTTTATATATGTGTTAAAAATCCCATCTACATTTTAAAGCATCTCTATCTACAATGCACTATAGATAAGATAATTCTTTTGATAATAGGACCTATCTTAATTTCAACTTATTCTAAATCATCACTGCCACTAGATTGCATAGGTTAATGGTCCAAAATTGCAGTTGGCCACCTTGTAGCACATAATGTCTGACATAAGGGTGCATACAATCAAACCACCTATTCTTACATAATAATGAAATTTTTATAAATTAAAATTTGTATATGTGTGAAATTTTGATGAATTGACATTAATGTGAAAAACAAAAATAAAAGAACTATCTAAAACCATGGGTGTAATAATACTATATATATACACACACATATATAAATATATAATTTTTTTTTTATGAATGCAAAATTTTATCTTTTTATTTGTACTTCTATATTACATATGAATCAAATTTATCAAATTTTAGAATCAATTCTAGATGTTATTGAATTTTTGAATAGAGTAGTAAGTTTAAAGACCAAAAAAAGTAATGTTTGTTTAAAAGTTTTATACTTTGAATGAAAATAAACTTTAGACACGTCTTTAAGCAATATGGAGATTTACATTTCATAAAAGACTTTTTTCAAAAATTTGCTGAATCATCAATGCAAAGAGAACAGTTAGTTCCATAGAATTTAAATTACGGAAATTTGCAAAGAAATCATGGTCTCCATCTTTCTTTCGAAAAAAATTGGTGATGACTCACGATTGAAGTAATTTGTTTAATAGTATTTTCCTCCAAAGTACACTTTTTTTTAATTATGTAATTTGCAATGATTATTATGTTTTACATAAATAGAATTGTACATACGTTTAGATGTATTAAAAGAATGAGAGCTAGATTTCAGTAACATATATATATATATATATATATATATAAACAGTTGACAACCACCAACTATGTAAGAGCAATTTTAAAGAAGAATACAAATCAATGTAGAAAACTTGCAAGGTTGCAATGGATGGCAATGAGTTCTCCCTCCTCTAATTTCGGTAACTCGTGATTTGATAAGAGAGTTATAACATTGTACCAAACTAAAATGGAAAAAAAAAAAAAAAAAAAAAAAAAAACTGAAAAAAAACTGAAAAAAAAGTGCAATACACACAAAGATGCAACTCCTCCACAGCAAAATAAATTTGATTAAACACTCCGTTGGCCACGCTGTAGGATCCAAAATTGTTCATTTAGCAAGCCTCCAGGTGCAACAATCCAACTAGATCAGGGGAACTATTCTTATATATGATAAAAAAGCCTCTTTTCTGCCCACTATAAATACACACTCCAGTTAAAGGACAGCAAAGTATCCAGATCCACGGATGGACTTTGGGACAGACCACAAACTGGCACTGATCATCAGCATGCTAGTTCTACAACTCCACATCGATAAGTTCGAAGAGTGTTGCAGCAGAATCATCGACCTCAAATTTCTTCTTCACTTCCTCATGCTGCTGAAATCCATTGACTATGTGTGGAGCTCACTCACCATGTTGAATGCATTGCAGGCATGATGTGGATAACTTTCGACAAGAATCAGCATTATATTCCTGCCCATCGTGCCGAAATAGAGCTGCTGAGTCGAGGAAGACGGCGAGAGGCGTGATCGTTCCTTTTTCTGGGTTGCTCGTGAGTTATCCACTCGCTCTCGACGCGGAGCTCACAATCACATCCACAGATTGGACTGAGTATTTGCAGCCAATCATCCTCTGTATGTCATACGTTGTTGTCCCAGATTGAGACAATGGAGCAGGTAGCTCAAGGGTGAGTGAAGACTAGGAAAGTTGCCGTGGAGCGTGGCTTGGCTGACACGCTTGGCGAAAGCGCTGAAGGCGTGGTCGTCGTAAGCCACATAGCTCACACGGTCGATATATTTGTGCACTTTTTATTTGGACTTTCCTTGACCAGGTACACAAACAATCGCAAATTGTAATAGCTCAAGAGTGATAGACAAAACAACAAGGGCTCACGCAATGGTGCGTTGCCCTTGTGCGATGGCAGACGGGTCTTGTCTCAAGGGTACGTGGTTGAGCTCGCATGAGTTGCTTACGGAAGCACTCATCACACCCTAGCCAGTTCTCCCCTAGACCTCTGCATCTTTCTTTAGCTCAGAAGGGTTACCGCCTGCATTTGGATTAAGCATTCCACTTCATCCGGCCCATTAGAAGGGTTTGCTTCTGATTCACCGGCATTGCCCACAACAGTTCATTTCAAGTCTCGTTGTCGACTTGCTCGTGCAAGCCTCACTGTCCCAACACCCTGTTGTTGTTGTGGCAGATTAAGCGTTGAACCAATCAAACAACCTGCACATAGCTCTTTCAGTATTATACTCAATGACACTGCATTCACGTATCATTGCACACTCAATTTCGGCTCACAGCCTGCTTCTCACCTGAATCGGAAAAATCCTGATATGGAATGGACGAATGACCGACACCAGTCTTGAAAAGTTAGCCATCATAAACGTACTGTTAAGCGAGTGGGATCAAGCAAGACATGAGCATCTCTGTGACTAAAACATGCTTTCGAGACTGTTACACCTGACGTAACTCCTACAACAGACATTAGTCAACACAATCATGCTCATTAAGGAATGAAAGCAGTGCACAAGTTCATTAATAAATGGTCGATATAATCAAGCGAAGCTGCCACGGCATCTCTAGCCTCCCAAGCTGGCTAACACGAACGATTAGGAAAGGAAAGGAGAATGATCCGTGTACCTGTGAACACCAGGCTCCAATTGCAACTCAGACGCAGAAAGGAATAGTAGTATTAACTCCACCTCAGCTTGAACCTGCAGTCTGGTAGAGCCAATTACAAAGCAGACACACACAAAATAAAAATAAAAATAAATCGTCAACTCAACACCTAATTACGACGAAATATATTCAGAGCTGCAAACACATGCAGGGCTCCAGCGACTGATATTGCACCATCATTCTAAGACACTAAAGCAGTCCTCCAGCAAAATCACACCGGAACATAGGGAGAAAACTAAACCAGACAGACATTCACCGAAAAAGTAATATACACAACTATACGAGTGAGTGAGTGTATATATATATATATATATATATATATACATACATACATTTATCATAACCAACAACCAAACCATTCAACCGAGAGGCACCAAGTTTCTGACACACCCACGTACCAAAACAAGAGCGAGCGGAAATCAGACCATCCGCGAGATCACGTGAAGAAGCATCAAGATGGTGATATTTTTTTAAAAGAAAAAAGACAGGCAGCGAATTCCCGCAAATGGGAAGCTCCCGGCAACCCGAGAGCCGAAGAAGCCCACGAGAAGTGGGAGAGAGAGAGAGAGAGTGTGCCCACTGGGAGAGATGAATTGGGTGCTTCCCATCCCGAGTGTTTATAGAAAACCTGGCGGCCGTCATCTGAGTGTGCGGGGGGGGAAGATGCGGCGCTGCTTCTTTTTGCGAGCACCTTTCCGTGCGTCCCCCTCCACGCCCACGACCACCTTCTCCCCGTTTCGAAGGCGACGACGACGTCAGAGGGGCGGCGAGGTGGAGGAGGAGGAGGATGAGTTCCCCTTTCCTCGTCCTCATTCGTTGCAATCCCACTCTCTCTCTCCCTTCCCATTTGTGCCTCCCTTTTCCCCCCACCTTCCTCGCATCCCCACATTCCTCATTCCTGCCCTCGTTCTCGGCGAACCCACTGATGCCGTTGCCATTGCTGATGTTCGGGAAAACTCGCCATTCCTCTTCTTCTTCTTCTTCATCGTCGGCTTCGTCTCCTTCCCCAGTTTTGTTTCAGCACCGCCGGTGCCCCATCGATGAACATTCCTAGATGGATCATAGTTTATTCAACCATCTTTTAGATACCCCCACCCCCCGACTTGTATGAATAAATGAATGAATGTTTGACACCAGCAAGTTGGGTTGCATGCACTGTATTTGTACCCGAACGGGAGGCATCTGTAATTCCACTACTTTGCAGCTTCTATAATTTGCATTTCCTGCTTTTCTGACAAGAATAAACATAAAATTGGATAAGCGATACTACTGGGGCTGAGTTTATTTAGGTTTAGATTGTAAAACTGCAGGATTGTTTGCTTTGCGAATTGTTTAGAAAGAAAAACCAATGAAAAGGTCAACTTCTATTAGAATCAACCTCCAGAGCTAGTACTGCATCTACTACTACTACATCCCTGGTTACTGATAGTCAGTGGCCTACAATCTAGACACAAATTCACTACTAGAATGAGAATTACCACCCCACCTTGAAAAGCGTGCAGAATAGTATAGTATTGTGTGAGTTGGATGAAAAGAGTGTCAGAAGTAGTGGCTTTGTGGGGGGGGGATGAAGCTGTGCCACTCTGGCTATGATCCCTCCCTATTAGTGGATCAAATCCCCCTTTGTGCCTTGGAATCCCTACCCAAGTAATGCATTCATTCATGCATTCATTCATGCATTCATTTATTCTTAAATTCATTCCACTGTATGCTCCTCCGTCTCTGGTTCCCCATTTGGGTAGACAATTCTAATGTTCCCTTGTTCCCCAGCCTGGGTTCCTATGTATACTATAAATAATACTCTTAATGATGAGCCGTGTTCCTCCTGGTGCTTTCTCTACACTTGGAGGCTCAGCCTTCAATAAAAGAGAAGGGAAATGGAGAATGAAAAGAAGAAAGGAGAAGAAGAAGAAGTTCAGAAATAAATGTATTGTTTGGGATGAATGAAGGGATCGAAATGTGTACGAGTGTGCACTGGAATCATTCTGTAAATGTTTTATGTTTTATTTGTTATTGTATATTTTTGTTTGTTTCAATTCTACTGCATGTTACTCCCATGGATGCCTCATGTCCCCCAACTCCCCATGAGCCAGCAACAGGATCTCAGAAACTTTTTGCCATGCACAAAGGGTCAAAAAGGAAATGAGCAAGTCATGTGGGCCATTCTAAGTACCCATGAGACAAGCTAATTCTCACAAAATGTACGGTACATCTCCCTCATAATTAATGCTGGTGGAAATCATGTCCTTCACATCCTATTTAGAGGGCTTTTAAAAGGGAGGGCTAAAGGGGCTGTGATGGTGGTTTGAATCTTGCCACATTGTACACTACCTTTGAGGTGGAGGATTGAACTGCCTCTACTGGCAAAAAATACTCAATTTGTTTTTGTTTTATTGTTTACTATTCTTGATAATAGTTGGGAATCAATGATAGTATAATACTATTTACAATGCAGTGATCCTACTTTGAATTCAGTACTAAGTTTTGATGCTCTTAAGCATATACATAAAAAGATTAAAATATATATATATATTTTTTAAAAAGAACAAAAAAAGGGAGAAATCTAGATTGAATTGAATACAGGAACTGAGAAGAGAAGTTAGTTACAGTGTACGAAATTAACTTTAAATAACGCAACTTTTGCATCTCAAAATAAGAGCGAACAGTGGTCATCTAATTAATTCCCTGATGAATTAAAAAATCAATTAAAAAAAAAAAAAAAAAAAAAAAAAACTACAAAACATGATAACTCTATAGAGCCCCAATACAGTTAAGCGAAAAGTAATCAGGATGCACATTTCCGTTTCAGTTTGCAAAACAATCAGAAATTGCCCCTGTAGCATGGTTTAAAGATAAGTGTCAAACTTCACTCCATCCCAAAAGATCAATGTAGTGTCTTTCCAATGCTTCAATTCTGTAAGAGCTTTTGGAGGTTTGTAACAGAGTTGCTGCGTTTGGAGAATTGGGTTAGAAATCAGCAACACATGAGGACTCAACCAGGAATCCTCAAGCGAGAAAAGGCTGCTCCCGGGTGATCGATCAACTTGGGGAGCTTGATCCATCTTCTGCTGTAAGCAAATATTCACCCGGGAGTAAACTCCACAAAGGACACACGCTGCTAGAGTTCGGCGTCGACACGCACTGCAGCTCCCAGTCTTCGGTGTCACCAGGAGGTCGAGGTTCGTAACAGTGAAGCAACATTCATACTCTACAACATTGGTTATTGTAACAGAGTGAAGTTTGACGCTATGTTTAACATCATTGCATACTAACTCAGAAGCCTGACGTTCGTGGAGTTCACCGAACAACTCCACGTGAACTGGTAAAAGTTGCCAAGCCGTGTGTGTGTGTAATGTGCGTTCCACATTGCCTGATTCCGGACTTCATGGCTTAGTTGAGGCGCTTTCCTTTTGTCGTGTTCACTCACCTGGTGCAGGTTCACTGCAGGGTGTGTGTGAGAGGGAGAGAGAGGGAGTGAGAGAGAGAGAGAGAGAGAGAGAGAGAGAGAGAGTGAGTGAGTGAGAGTGAGGGCAGGGAATGCTGCAAAAAAACCGGGATGATGTGTGGAGGAGAGTTGGAGAAGCTGAGCAATGTCAGCACGGTATACGGCTTAGGAATCTTGTCGTGCGTTGGTGAGAATGGCGAGAATCAACGACCGATGCTTCAAGACGTGCAGGCCTAGTACAGACCCGGGGGGCGGATCCAGGACATGACTTGGAAGCAGGGGCCAAAAAAATAAAGTTACAGATGGTGGCCATCGTTTGTTGAGCATCTGGGAATTGCTTCTGTTTCAGATGCCAGGGTGGGGCGTATTATACGCAAAATCGGCATATCATGGGAACCGAAGTGAAGGGTTAGGTGAGGTGAGGTGAGGTGGGGTGGGGATCTTCACAATCTACAGTGAACCGCGAGGTCCAGCACCCCACACAGTTTGCACACCAAGCCTGGAACCGAACGAACGAACCTAAAAACAGACGGAAGCACGGCCGGACAGACGGATTCCAACACTGCTCTGCTGCACAACAGCAACCACCTCCCATTTTCTCTGCCAATCTGGTCCCATAGACTTTGAATTTGATTCCAGACTCCACAAAACCGTGTTAAACGGAGGCCCTTCGTTTTTATTTTTTTGCCCCCTTCCCCCCACTGAAGTATATCACCAATTCTTTCTTCCACCTGAGCAATCGTGGCTGCAGCGTTGTGCACAGTTAGCAATCAGCCAGCGAATCAAAGTGGACACTTTCAAGCCGGCGAAAGTTTCAAGCGCCATGTCCGACTTCCGTCATGGCTTCCTCCTTTCACTCGGCAGCTAAGATTCTTCGGAAAGTTCGGTGAGCGTTTGCATGTGGGGCGCTGGAGGATCCGATTCCCGAGTGCCAATCGTAGAGCTCCCCTGCTGGAAGCTACTCACATTGTAGTGTAGTGTAGTGTAGTATAGGGAGGCGAGGGGTCTTCTTTAGGCTTCGGGCTTGGCAAATCTAGTGTCTGGTTTCATTACCGTGTTCCCTCTCCCTTTTTCCCGTTGTTAGGACACTTTCCTGTCATGCTGCCGGCCTCCACCAAACCATATACGTCGGGCTCCGCGCGCAGGATCACCATCTGGGGCTAGCGGTAATGCCCCGTTTTCTTCCCTTCGAGGCTGACTCACCTTTTTCCCTCACATCAAACAAAAACCCAATTGCAACGGAACAGGAAAAGAAGATCTTGTGCCGAGAAGACGGTTGATCTGTGTGCCGAGTTGTGACCCATGTATCCATCCTCGGGAGGAGCCTTGTTTGTTTGTTTGTTTGTTTGCTTGTTTGCTTTGAAATCCTCGCCCATTCCGTCCCATCCCTTCAGATCATACCCTCCACTTTCTCTCTCTCTCTCTTGTTCTCTTCTTCCACCCTCATTATCTCTGCTTGCAATGCCAATCCTCACTTTTACAATGCATTGTTTTGCAGAGATATTTTGCATGGATGGATGGAAGTGAGTTCTCGGCTGCTCTGCTTTTGTCTTGTTTGCATGGGTCACGTGCTTTCTTCTCTCTCTCTCACCTGCTGTTTCACTTGCTTGCGTTACTTTGCTCTAGAATCTTTGCGTGTGTGTACATATATATATATATAGGACACGTCTTTAGATATATAACCTTTTTTTACGTATGATGTAAATGTATTTAAAATCTGGATATAAGAACTATAATTTTATTGAACAAAATCATTTGTAAAATATTATGTTGAACCCTTCAATACACTGTTGGAAAAGTTATTTATTTCACAAAGTACATTATCTTTTCTATTCTTCTTTTTGAAATCATGTCTTATCAAAATTTTGGCATATACGCTTTAAGTTCGTTTTTGAGGTATTGGTTTGAAGTATAGAATCATTGCATTATCGCAATGAGATCAAGCCTCACTATCTCTCCATTTTATTGGCATATTTTGAACCCAAGAGTATGTTCTCTGGATTATTTAAATTTACAACAACAAAATCACTTATATCCAATTGAAAACCCAAGAATTATTCTAAATAATACATATATATTAAGAAAAAATTCAATTTACAAAATAAAAAATAAAAAATAAAAAGTTGAGATATAACTTTGTGTTTTTAATTAAAAAGTATTAAGCAGCAATAAATGTATTTGAATTACTGTAGATTTACAAGAGCCAGATGGGTGGATATATATATATATATATATATATATATATATATTATTCTTACAGTAAAGATGTAACTATAGGTCAAAGATTAGGAAAATAAATAATTGAAAAAACAAAAAACAAAAAACAAAAGCAAAAAGCAATCAATACGTGATGACTGGAGTTTCATGTGAACACAAATGAAAGATTCTTGCTTAGTTATCGAAATGCAAATAACGTATTTTTAAATCAAAATTAAAGATAAAAGCATTGAAATCATTATTTCAAAATGAAATCCACATGTAAACCAAAGATCACTTCGTGTATTGCCGTTAAAGCGTGCAATATGGCAACGAAATCTGTATCCAAACCTAGTTTCTATAGGATC